TTATGCCCAAATAAATCTGTTAGTCTTTAAGGTGCCACCAGACTCCTTGTTGTTTTTGTAGATACAGACTAACACGGCTACCTCCTGATACTTTATTCTTAGTATTATTATTGCTGTGAGAATATTGGTCTTTGTATGAACAGGCAGGATAACGAGGGGTTTTACAAAGGTGTGGACCCTTTGTAACTAAGGCCATGTCTATACGTACAGTGCTGCAGTGGTGCAGCTGTACCGCATCTGGGGAAGATGCTCTATGCCGATGACATGCCGAGCTCTCCCGTCAGCATAATGAAACCACCTCCGTGGGCGGCGGAAGCTCTTCCACCGATATAGCGCTGCACACACAAGCCTTTGTCGGTGTAACGTACATTGCTCGGGGGTGTGGTTTTTTTCACACCTCTGAGTGACATAAATTATGCTGACATAGGCTGTAGTGTAGACATAGCCTAAGTTTTTAAGGTAAATGCATCCTCTGGGTTTATAGCTCTTTCCAGCTGAATATTGTCAAATGCCCTGTGATGAAAGAGCCTGGGAGTTAAATGAAGACAAATGTTTAACTTCCAGTGTTGAGTTTTGACCCACGCATACCTTAATATCCTTGGGGCGAAGGGCCCTTCATCATTACTACTAGAATAAAATACGGTAACTTCAGTAAGCTTTACAGGTGCTGGCTGTCATGCTGTCAGACAGACAAGGTGGGTGAGGTGATATTTTTTATTGGGCCAACTTGTATTAGTGAAAGAGACAAGCTTTCAAGCTACGCAGTTGCCTTCTTCAGCTGGATGATGAAGTTTTTGCCAGAAGTGGCTGACTGCTGATAGCTAGGCGGTATCCATCTACATGGCTATAGGTCATTGACTTGGATGGCTGGACCCTGAAAGATGCTTGTGCTGTTACAGACTAGCAAGGAGGAAACTATCACTTTTAACCCGAGCATCTTAAACTGCTGTATTCTTCAGGCATATTCGCCTCCTTCTCCAGTATCCCTGGGTATCCAGAGGGTTACCATGTTGTTTCTTCTGCAGTGTTTCTTTTCGCTTAGGTCTCACTTGGGAGGTGTTTCTCTCCATGGCATGTTCTCACTTTGGAGACACTGGTCTCACAGGCTAACAAGTTGACCTGCCCCCAGTACTTTGGGTTCACCAGTCTGTGTGCTCACTTTCACTGCTGCCCGTTCTGTGCCCCATCCTGAATCTCCCCTTCCTTCTTTGCAGGCAACATTTTTGTTGTTGCCCTTCTGACCCAAACAGTTAAACCACAGGACCCTGAATATTAACTGTTTTAGGAGAAATTGATGGAATCAGGTGTGTTCTTTGGTGCAATCCTGTTTATATAAAACCAATGAACATAAAGTCCTGTTTCCCTGAACACAACAGAAATCAAACAGCAGGAGACCATTCTTTTGGTTGCAGAATATGCCTCTTTCCAGGCATTACTCTATCCAGAAGCACTTAGCTTTGTCTCAGGTTCACGCTAAAGTGTTTCTCTGGCTGCATCTAGGGCATGGGTTCTCACATGAAATTTTTGGTGGCCTCAGAGTGCGGCCACCAACTCTTGCTGGTGGTTGCTCTGACAATTTTTCCTAAAATACTACCGTAATATACTCGTTCATAAGCTGAATATTTTTGGTAAAAAAGTGGCGCATCAAAGAGCGGGGGTCGGCTTATAAATGGGACTACACCAAAATTTGATGATTTTAAACTCTATGGAATCATTGAATTGAATATCTAATACATTGTCGTTTTGTTTACCTGGAGCGTCTGCAGGCATGGAGCCCCTCAGCTCCCTGTGGCTGGGAACGGCAAACCGCAGCCACTGGGAGCTGAGGGGCTCCGTGCCTGTGAACGCTCCAGGTAAACAAAACGTCCCAATCCGCCAGCGGCTTACCCTGACGGGTCGGGAGCCAAAGTTTTCCAACTCCTGAAATATAGGGTCAGCTTATGAAAGGGTCATACAGTTTTTGCTATTTTTACCTATCCATTTTGGGGGGGTCAGCTTATAAACGAACGGGCTAATGAACGAGTATATATGGTAATTAACTTTAGGAAAAACAAATATGCACATATACATGTCTAAATCATTGTAGTTTATTTATGTAGAGGTTTTTTTCAGACAAAATAATCTACAGTTGTCTCTGTTCTTTACTGGACCTAAATAGAATAGAAACACAAATAAGGTGCTCCCTACCCACCTCCCATCCCGGGCTTAATTTGTCCCCCAGCTTGCCGGGGCTGAGTAAGTCGGCTGTGAAAAGTAGTATTAACAAATGCACAAATATCACTTTTCACAGTAGCAGACTTAGTAGCTAGCAAACATCTGACCGAGCTGTCACTAGACGTGTTGCTTGTTGATTGAATTTCCAGACTCAGGGAGACATCCACTGAAGGAAAAAGCTGTAAGAGCAGTGTGGAGTTGTGTTCACATTTTAGCTTTGAAATAGCTATTCTACACAGCAATGGCATGGTTGAGTCATGTCTGATGATAGAATTACCCTCTCAGACATTTACAGTAACTTTAGGTGAGCTCCAGAAATAACACTTCTGCGATGAGTGATGGAAAATACGTGTGCAAATGGAGGCCAGCATTTTCAAAAGCCACTAGTGATTTTTGGGGCACCTCAATCTTTGGGGGTTTAACTTGAGACCTCTTAAAGGGGCCTGATTTCCAGAAGGTACTGAGCATCCGCCTTCTGGAAACCAAGCCCCTTCAAGGTGTTGCATGTCGGGCACCCAAAATCGCTAGTCACTTTTAGAAAATGTTGACCTAAGTCTTCGTAAATGTGGGGATGAAAGGAAAGCTTTGCAAAATGTGCTGTTCTGATGTCCCTTTGGGCCTCTACTATACCCCATACACTAGGGTAACCAGAGACCAAGTGTGAAAAATCGGGACAGAGGGTGGGGGGTAATAAGAGCCTATATAAGAAAAAGCCCCAAATATCAGGATTGTCCCTATAAAATCAGGGCATCTGGTCACCCTACCATACACATAACTTCCTACTCATGAATGCATCACAAATATGTTAACACCAGGATATCCTGGAGATTATTCCAAATACTACATCCATCTTAGGCAGGGCTTCCCAGCAGTATTAATACTCATCACAGGTGCAACTCTTTAGAAGACTTGCTGGTCCCAACCCCAGCCTCTGGTGTCCTTTTAATTCTACCCACTTGTACACAGGCATTATCTCAATTTACACGATCACATCCTGTTTCTCAAATGCAGTATATTAGACACTTTTTTCCCTACAGTCTTGGATACAAACTTGCAGCATGCTGTAATTTTTCATGTACAATCAAACTTTGTTGGAATGGTCCAGTTATCTTCATTTACTTAGACTTTCCACGGGACTGATGTCTTACTGGTATGTATTTTACTCATTTAGCAAGTCCTACAGTTTCTCCAAAATGCAGCACAGCATACCTTAGGTGCAGTTCAGAGCAGTAAACTAACAAATCTACTTAGCTACAAAATTTCATTGGCTAAATTTCACTACTGCTCTGTTGTACTTAATTTGTTGTATGTTTTGTAACTGTACTCTTCATATAAATGACTTTAACTGCCTCTGGGTGGTATGCAGAGTAGAAGACTCTCCACTTGTCTAAGGTTGTAGAAAATGTATATCATACTGATTTAGACTGTCCTTATGCATTGGTGTACAACCTTCACTTTGTCCCTTCCTGGTTTGAGTGCTTAACCAAACAGGTACTTTTCTCAACAGTCGAATTTATTTAGGAGCTTAGGGGAGCAATAATCAGAATGTAGAAATGTGTGTTTGGCTAGACGTGGCCAGAAGACCCTATTCCATGCACCTGCAGGAGCAAGCTGCTCGCCCTTAGAAATAATTCACTTGCAGTTTGTGCAGTACAAGACATACAGTGAATGAAGCAAGAATGTCCACGATCCCTGTCTCATTGAGTGTGCCTTCAGCTGTCCAGTTGAGTACAAAGGCTAGTACCAGAAACTTCAGAGGAAGGTACAAGTAACCCTTGATAGACAATTATGAAATAACCTGCCTAGAGGGGAAGGTTTTCCTGCAACACCTATCATTTAATAGATGGCTTATGCCCTGAAGCAAGAAAGTTGATTAACCTTCTAAAACTCTTTAATCATGTCTATTGTACAGGTATTTTCTCATATAAACATCTAATCTTTCCATATGTTAACTATGCTGTATAAAGTGGTTTCTTCTGTCTGCTTTAAATGGATCACCTTTCACTATAAGAAGGTTGGGTAGGGTTTACTCCAATATGTATGCTGGAGTGGGTTCCTTTAGTGTTGCAGCACTTCAGCAGGGGTCCATTGTAACAGACTTCATAATGATGCAGGATTTGTTTACATTCTGAAGTCTGATTGTGAATGAGATTACGCATTTCTGGATTTATTTAATTCTGTATCGAGACTTGAAGGAGGTAGGGGTGTATGAGGTCCCAGACGGTATGCAGAGTGTGCCTTCTAATGGGGTTGGCTTACAGGGGAGCATAGAATGTGTCTAACAGGTTAACATTTCAGAAGTCATTGCTTGAAGATACTACAATGAACGTGGCAGCCGCAGCAATCAGCCAGGTGCTGGGTGGCCCTAGGAAAGGGGAGCAGAAGGTGTACTTTTCAGTATTGTGTATGAAATGGCATGAATACTGTCATTGCTTTGAGACTTGCAAATCAAAAGTTTCCGATTTTATGTTAAGTGTTTTTGACCCTTTCTTTCAGGTCATATCTGACTCCTGTGCGGGATGAGGAAGCAGAGTCACTAAGGAAGGCCCGATCCAGACAGGCCCGCCAGACTCGTAGGTCTACACAGGTGAGGAGTGAAATTCCTGATGGCCCTGCAGCAGAGTAGCAGACAAACTGGCATTTAATGGGCGGTGGTATCTTGTTCTGCTAGTCCATCACCATACGCATATAGACTTGTCTGGGGAGACAGAAGGGGAGTTGGGTGGTGGCCTACAAAAGGTGCCAAGGCAGCTTTACAGTCCTTTGATTGGAGAAGTCTTTGTACACCACTTGGGTCTCAAAGCCCTTTACAGACTAAGTGACCACAAACAATACACAAGGGTCATGTAATTTGCTGAAATGCAGCCACTTAAAAGGATGTCATGTTTCACCTTATAACAGCCAACAACAATGTTACACAGTTCGGAACAGAAAACAAAGAAACATATATCCATCTTAAACTTCAGGAAGAATTGGGTTAGCAGATTGCAGTTCTCCAGGTCCCAACTTGGCTGGGACAGTTTTCCAGGATGTGTGAGCAGTTCTCTGAAGATCTCAGTGTTTGTTACAAATACTGATTGTCTTTGTTTGAAGTGATTACAACTAGGCTGTAGAAATACATCCCAGGCTGACATCCAGTGCACGTCCTTGCCATTCAAACCATTTTACCCCAAACTTGTTTAAAAACAAGTTTATATATTTGAGCTACATAAGTGCAGGAAAATAAGACCACGTGCTGAAGACGGCGTGTGTGTATGTGTTGATTTAACTCATCAGTATTTTTAAATGACTTCATAGAATCATAGACTTTAAGGTCAGAAGGGACCATTATGATCATCTAGTCTAACCTCCTGCACAACTCAGGCCACAGAATCTCACCCACCCACTCCTGTATCAAACCCCTGACCTATGTCTGAGCTATTGAAGTCCTCAAATCGTGGTTTAAAGACTTCATGGTGCAGAGAATCCTCCAGCAAGTGACCCATGCTCCACGCTGCAGAGGAAGGCGAAAAACCCCCAGGGCCTCTGCCAATCTGCCCTGGCGGAAAATTCCTTCCCGACCCGAAATACAGTGATCAGCTAAACCCTGAGCATGAGGGCAAGACTCACCAGCCAGCACCCAGGAAAGAATTCTCTGTAGTAACTCAGATCCCACCCCATTTAACATCCCATCACATGCCAGTGGGCATATTTACCGCTAATAGTCAAAGATTAGTTAATTGCCAAAATTAGGCTATCCCATCATACCATCCCCTCCATAAACTTATCAAGCTTAGTCTTGAAGCCAGATATGTCTCTTGCCTCCACTGCTCCGCTTGGAAGGCTATTCCAGAACTTCACTCCTTGGATGGTTAGAAACTGTCCAATTTCAAGTCTAAACTTCCTGATGGCCAGTTTATATCTATTTGTTCTTGTGTCCACGTTGGTACTGAGCTTAAATAATTCCTCTCCCTCCCTGGTATTTATCCCTCTGATATAGTTATAAAGAGCAATCGTATCTCCCCTCAGCCTTCTTTTGGTTAGGCTAAACAAGCCAAGCTCTTTGAGTCTCCTTTCATAAGACAGGATTTCCATTCCTCGGATCATCCTAGTAGCCCTTCTCTGTACCTGTTCCAGTTTGAATTCATCCTTCTTAAACATGGGAGACCAGAACTGCACACAATATTCCAGATGAGATCTCGCCCTTTCCTTGTATAACGGTACTAACACCTCCTTATCTCTACTGGAAATATCTCGCCCGATGCATCCCAAGACCGCATTAGCTTTTTTTCATGGCCATATCACGTTGGCGGCTCATAGTCATCCTGTGATCAACCAATACGCCGAGGTCCTTCTCCTCCTCTGTTACTTCCAACTGATACGTCCCCAGCTTATAACAAAAATTCTTGTTGTTAATCCCTAAATGCATGACCTTGCACTTTTCACTATTAAATTTCATCCTATTACTATTACTCCAGTTTACAAGGTTATCCAGATCTTCCTGTATGATATCCCGGTCCTTCTCTGTATTGGCAATACCTCCCAGCTTTGTGTCATCTGCAAACTTTATTAGCACATTCCCACTTTTTGTGCCAAGGTCAGTTATAAAAAGATTAAATAAGATTGGTCCCAAGACCGGTCCCTGAGGAACTCCACTAGTAACCTCCCTCCAGCCTGACAGTTCACCTTTCAGTGTGACCCGTTGTAGTCTCCCCTTTAACCAGTTCCTTTCAATTTTCATATTGATCCCTATCTTTTCCAATTTAGCTAATAGTTCCCCATGTGGAATCGTATCAAATGCCTTACTGTAATCGAGGTAAATTAGATCTACTGTGTTTCCTTTGTCTAAGAAACCTGTTACCTTCTCAAAGAAGGAGACCAGGTTGGTTTGGCACGATCTACCTTTTGTAAAACCATGTTGTATTTTGTCCCAATTACCATTGACCTCAATGTCCTTAACTACTTTCTCCTTCAAAATTTTTTCCAAGACCTTGCATACTACAGATGTCAAACTAACAGGCCTGTAGTTACCCAGATCACTTTTTTTTCCTTTCTTAAAAATAGGAACTATGTTAGCAATTCTCCAGTCATACAGTACAACCCCTGAGTTTACAGATTCATTAAAAATTCTTGCTAATGGGTTTGCAATTTCATGTGCCAGTTCCTTTAATATTCTTGGATGAAGATTATCTGGGCCCCCTTATTTAGTCCCATTAAGCTTCTGAGTTTGGCTTCTACCTTGGGTGTGGTAATATCTACCTCCATATCCTCATTCCCATTTGTCATCCTACCGTTATCCCTAAGCTCCTCATTAAAGACTGAGGCAAAGTATTTGTTTAGATATTGGGCCATGCCTAGAGTATCGTTAACCTCCACTCCATCCTCAGTGTTTAGCAGTCCCACTTCTTCTTTCTTTGTTTTCTTCTTATTTATATGGCTATAGAATCTTTTACTATTGGTTTTAATTCCCTTTGCAAGGTCCAACTCTACATGACTTTTGGCCTTTCTCACTTTATCCCTCCATATTCTGACCTCAATAAGGTAGCTTTCCTTGCTAATCGCTCCCATCTTCCACTCCTTGTAGGCTTTCTGCTTTTTCTTAATCACCTCTCTGAGATGCTTGCTCATCCAGCTTAGTCTACAATTCCTGCCTATGAATTTTTTCCCCTTTCTTGGGATGCAGGCTTCTGATAGTTTCTGAAACTTTGACTTGAAATAATTCCAGGCCTCCTCCACCTTTAGATCCACAAGTTCTTCAGTCCAATCCACTTCCCTAACTAATTTCCTTAAGTTTTTAGTTAGCCCATTTGAAATCAAAAACCCTAGTCACAGATCTATTTTTGTTTATTCTTCCATTTAGTTTGAATTGGATTAGCTCATGACTTCTCTTTTTACAGGTAGGAAGTCCAAAATGACTTGCTAGTTTGGTTTCGGTGGGGGAGGGAACACAGCAGTCTCATTTTAAATTGTTAATATTTCCACTGATCAGTGTTCTAATGGAGAAAATAGAAATGATCACATTACTATGAATTTACACTGACGTGAGGACCATCCAAAATTCGAGAAAAATATGGGTGGTCTGTTAGAGGCACAGATACAGTCACTAATCCCATAAGAACCCCCCTGTCTGCTTGGTTACCAGCTTCAGTAAACATACCAGATGAGTAGACTCAGTTGTCACCCATTATTGCAAAAATGTGTAATGAAGTGTTTGTAATATACCTGCCGATGTTTTTGTGGGCTGAAGTCAGACACACAGCAGCATCGTAGGGAAATTCAGAAAGTAGGTTGAATCAAATTTCTTTGAATACAGCTCTAGGCATCAGTCCCATAAATTAAACACCACAATGTGAATTTAAACCAAGAACTGCCCATAAATATGTCCAGCGCAGCCCATGTCATTCTCAGCAGCCTTAGTGAAAAGAGAAGATGGGCTTTGCAACATGCCTGGAAGGCTGACTGATCTGGGCTCTGGTGGATCAAGGCTTGCATTCCAATCTCTGCTCAGACAGCTGTGCCTCTTTCCACAACACCATGGGCTTCATATCTATCACCTGCGCAATTTAAAAATTCAGAACAAACGTACTTCGTCTATGTACAACAGTGGCCCACGGAACCCAGGAGAGGGGTAAACTTTCCAGAAATCAATCTAGTGTTCAAGGTCTCTTTCCAAGGAGCTAGCTCCTTAACACCCATCACCAAGGAAGGTGGGGGTGTTCTACGTTCAGAATGGGAAATAATCTGTCTGATAGTCATGTGAATTATGACGAGATTGTCGCCATATGGGTTTTAGTCCTTTGTGTTTATAGGAATGTTACTTCCTGGTCTGAATTTAGTAACTTTACACATTGAAGCCTGTAGTTGATGGTTACCATTTGTGGCTTAGTCTAGAATACATCAGACTGACACACCATCAGAAAAGTGTGTGTGTGTGTAACAGAATAAAAAGTAAAATCCTGCGATGACAAAGTGGCTGGAGAAAGTATATATTGGAGTGCTATAGTCCAGACCCTCAGACTGGCACATCTGGTGAGCTCTAGTAAGTGTTCCTGGGAACAGTTAATTCCGCGTACCCCCTCCAGATGTACAAACTAAGGCTGCAGTTCTGGTTGCCGGTGACATTGCAAGCGCCTTTGCTCTTCACTCTTATGGCTTGATGCTCTGCACTGAGTTTGCTTTTGAGGAGTCCAGTGATGATGCATGTTAGCTGAGAAGTATTAAGTGCTATCCCAATCTATTACTTTATATAAGGTAGGGGCAAGAGACCTCTATCAGGATCAAGACCCATTGTGCTAGGCAAAGTGGACAGGTGGTACCTGTCTTGAAGAACTTGCCATCTAACTAAAGAGACAGGTTTTATCAGGTGCATGAAGCACATAACAAACCAGCATGTGTAACTGATGCAATCTTACCCCTTTCCCAGGGTGTAACACTCACAGACCTTCAGGAGGCAGAACGAACTTTCAGCCGGTCTCGAGTGGAGCGGCAAGCTCAGGAACAACAAAGTGAGAAACCTGAGAGCACTGAGGACAGCAGTGAGAGACGGGAGGAGACCCGGCCCTGGTGGAATAGAAACCAGGATGAGGAGGTGATCTCTCTATCCTTAATAGCTGCTACTTGAGAGTTCAGTGGTTTGGGACAACTGAGATTGAGTAAAATTCTTCTGACTGTCTCCTTGTGGACTTGCTACTAGGAGGATTAGTACAGTCAGAAATGACCCAGGCCTGATTAATCTAGGTATGTGGGTACTTGGAAATTAATCTGTGTATAGTGTTGCTGTGTTATGGCTCAGCTATTGCTTTGTTCTCGACTTGACATAACACTTGTCTCTTGTCAGACAAAATAAATCATGGAAGTAACAATACCATGGAATGCAAAGGCTAATAAAAGGAGAATTGTGCCACAGTTCCTCTCTTCTGGCAATAAGGGTCAGGATTGAGGCCTAGCATCTGAAGAAATGGGTTTTTTACCCACGAAAGCTTATGCCCCAAAAAATCTGTTAGTCTTTAAGGTGCCACCGGATTCCTTAATGTTCCTCTACAGATGTTTTGAATGTAGTTGGTGGATTCAGGTGATTGGGGGTGGGGGGAGGGGAGAGGAGAGATAGAGAAGTCTCATAGGAGGTCATCATCTCCCCAGGCATTACGTTTATTTGGACTCTTGAACCCAAGTGGCTTTTCTTACATAGAGAATACTTGCTGCAAAATGAACGTCCAGCTGGAGTAAAGTCAATGAACACCACAAGAAGTATTGTAAACAGATGAGTTGTGGAACCCCTTCTGTATAAAATCTCACCATTGACTTGACTTCCTCTAGAAAGGATTGAGTTGTTGAATTAACCAAACCTGTTACACAACTGTTAATCTTATCATTGGCATGTACCCTTGTTTTACATGGAAGCTGATTAACAACCACATGACAAGAAAAGAAGCCTGAATCCAGCAACTCTTTAGTAGATAATGTTTTCACCCCTCAGCTCATATACACACCTAGCAAGCAACCTGGAGGTCTGTGATATTTCTACTAACCATCTTCTATAGCCCAGATTGGCTTTTCCCATAAAATGTGCTCACAGCTTTTTGCACCTCCATACCTCATCCCACTGTGAACCAAGTCCTGTGGTGATGGTCTCCTATATCTCTGCAGGAGTGACATTGCAGTACTGGCCAAACACTTTACTGGGGACAGATATATAATGGTCCTGTCTCTTTTGTCCCCTTTAGACTCTCGACAGTTCATTTCTATAAAGGATACCTGCTAGTCTTGGCAGTATGGGTCAAGCAAGCTGCTCTTCGGTCTTCAAGCTGTGTTCCGAATGTGACTGTGCAATCCAAAATTACTTTAAAAACAAACAAAAACCTGTTTCCTCTTCTTCCACTCACCCCAGCCAGATGGAATACATTTTATGCTGTTTTCCTAATCTGTCCTCTGTGGCAAGGTGTGGTTTATCCAACGGCAGTGTGGAGGACTGTAAACGCTGAGTGATTACATCCAGTAGCTAAAGTCCAGTTCTCCTAGTCGTTACCTTTCTGCTAACCTTTATTTATGGCTCTGTTTATTTACAGTCTGTCTATCGGCGATTAAGGTGTCCAGCACAAACAGACAAACCCACAACACCAGTATCTCCCTCCACGTCAGCCCCTTCTCTTTACACAAGTTCTCACCTGGCCCGGACAAGTAGATCTCTGGACCCTGACTCTGTGAACCCAGCAGACTTCCAAAGCACGGCCACTGAGATGGAGAAAAATGGTACGTACCTCCTAAAATGAGAAGACAACCCAAGCATTTCAGGCCAAGGTGTTTAATGAATAAGCAATATGCTCAGTGTACATAGCCTGAGATTCTAGGTTTATTTCCTGCTCTTCCAGCAGGGGACTGGTTCAGGTGGGCTGCCAGCTTGTCAGATGTGTATGTAAACAGAATGACTGAAAGAGGGTATCCAAGTCCCTTATGAAGTGGTCCATTTTTATTGCCTTTGCAGACATGAATAAGAGGTGGTGGCTTTTCCTTTGACCATCTACTGGGAGGGAACATCTAGATTCTCCAGGAAGCGGTGCTAGAGAACTTGACTAATGTAACTCCTCCCTCAGAATCCTGATAAGCTAATGCCCCTGCATGGTGTTGGGAGCTATGCAGATAAAGGGACAGCCACTGTCTGGGCCCGTCTAGAAGAAAGGAGTGCAAAATATTAGGTGTAGTGGGGAAGAGGGATTCCATCTTGTATGTTTATTGACTGAAGTGTAGTACAACACGAGCCCTTTCTTGGTGATGGAAACCAGTTTGAAAATGTCACCAGGGCTTTGAGAAAAGCACACAGGTAAATCATTTAAATCAAAGCAGTCTGTCCTTGTTTGGCTAGAGTGTGAAGATCAGGATTTAGATGATAGATCTCCAAACAAGCAGTCAATCCGAGAGAGACGGCGGCCAAAGGAGAGGCGAAGAGGCACTGGAATCTCTTTCTGGACAAAAGATGTGAGTGACCTTGTTGGGGTGGGAGAAAAGGGAATTTGTTCTACCACATTCAAAGTGAATTTGCTTCTGGTTTTGAATAGGATGGCTGCATCCTGTTAGCTTAGTGCATAGGCCTGAAAGGTCCCAGGAAGAAAAGCTCTGTGTAAGCTTGAAAGCTTGCGTCTCTCACCAACAGAAGCTGGTCCAGTAAAAGATATTCCCTCATCCACCTTGTCCTTTAAAGTTTATCAAATGGGAGGTAATTGGAGAAGCTCTGAGATAAGCACCATCTCCTGCCTTTGAGAATCTGCCTTTGATTACTGAGACTTAAAGTTCCTTTGTACAATCCCTTTCTCAAAAGCTTTTCACAGTTACCTAGATATCAAGAATCAGCACCTCTCTCTTGAAAAGCCTAGTCACCTAAATACCAGGAAATCCAAACCTTGCTGCTATAGAAGTTATTACGCTACATTCATTTTCTTCTTTCTCTCTAGGATGACGAGGTTGATGGGAATGAGGAAGTGAAGGAGTCTCGGGTAAGTGAGGATCCAACGATGTACATTGCCTTAACTACCTTGCTGTCATCTACATTTTGATGGCAGCAGGACTGCTGTGAATTCACTTGTATTTGTTAGGGAAAGTGTGTCTGTCTGAACAACACATTGCTTCCAGCCTGGTATTCACTCCAGTTCTGTGAAGCAAATCGCTGCTGATCTTTCCTCGGGAAGCTATGGTGCACATACACCTTGAATCTGCTGTTCTATGAGGTCTGTGTAGTCTGATTGTCAAGGAAACCTGAAGGGTTGTAACAGCGGCTGTGAGATGAAGGCTGTGCTAGGGGTCTAATATACTGTATCAAAAGGCTGACTGCAGAATTTGGGAAGTGTGGCTATCACGGGTCACAAGGGAAGCCGAGATCTCTTAACTCAGAATGTGGCTCAATAGAGTAAGAGGGATTCATTCTAACTTAGAAAACAAGTATATTTGTACTTCCCATGCCTACACCCTTGTCTTGTTCTGGGTGCAGGCTTTCTATTCTTCTATCCCCTACAACTGGAACAGTCTTGCTATTCTCCAAATTCCTTCAAATCTCTCTTCCTTTCTTTCATCTATAATTGCTAAACCCTCCATTGCCTGAACAGTCTAGTATCTTGCCTTGTTTTTGGTCTTGTCTGTCTTGGGCTGAGACACATTTGGGGCCAGGAACATGTCTTGGTCTGTTGAACAATGTTTGTTCCAAAACCATCAGTGCATCATTTGTTAGACCAGGAGAAAAATAACAGCTGTTCAAGGCTCCATAAGTACCTCACTGGTGGTTGACATCAGGTGCCAGCATGGGCATATGATTTTATTATTTAAAAAGAACCCAATTTCATTCAGTCCAAATGGCTTTTTCACATATTTTGCTAAACAGATCATTTTGCGGCATGGCGGTTGGTGGCACTGTTTTAATCAATTGTTGAGGGATCCATATTCAATTCTGTGGTGTTACAAATTAAGTTTTCTTTGTCATGGACGCTTGTCCTTTCCTTAAAAATACCCCACTTTGACTCAGCCTGATAAAAGTGAATCTGATAGGGACTGAGACTGGTAGGCAAATGGGATGACGGCACAGTATGTCCTTATCTTACAATTGCATAAAGTTGCTCGTGCCAGCCTTCCCTTGTAGAGCACTAAAAACATGGAACTCAAGATGTTCTTCCCAGACTCCGTATTGTAGACAGAGCGGTAGCACCATAATCCCCATTATTGGAACCTGCTTTCAGTTGCCTAAAGATTGCCAAACTTTAATCATTTGAGCTGAAATGTTCCATGCCGGGGTCTGCCTGAAGCTGAAACAGAAACTTTTCTGGGCAGTTTCAGCCAAAACTGTTTAGCCATTTCAGAGAACGACATAAGTGGAAAAATACATTGGGGTGTGCGCGCACACACACACACACACACTCTCTCTCTCTCTCTCTCGCAGGCTGGTGGCCTTTGAGCTAGCTGTTCCTGTGAGAAGCTGGCTAAGTTAGAAGCTTTTGAAAAACCTCAGTTATTACACGCTCACTAGAGACTTCTTAGAGTTTAGCGGCTGAAGTCTCCCCAAAATCTGCTCACAATGAGCATGTTCCAACCCCTCACAGCTCCTGCATGTGACCAGACTGCTCATGACTATCCCCACAGAGCAACAGAGTATGGACGAGCTCAGGGTTGTGGGAACTAAACTCGTCTTTCCATGTAATTGCTGCTCTGGGCCGGGTTGTGACTGGGCACCAGAACTGAGAGCAGGCAACTGGACCAGAGGGAGGAGAAGGAGTAGAATGAGATGAGGAGCCTAGTGAAACTGACTTGGGGGGAGGAAGAGACTGGGACAGGGAGGAGCCAGTTGGTGGAGGGTGAATGGGAAACCGATCTCATGAGGTGCTGGTGTGCAGAGGGGATGACTGAAAGCCTGGGTGGATGGAGCGGCAGATCAGACTAGGACTGGGATGAGAAGCCTGAGGAGTGGAGACTTGGACTGGGTAGGCAAGGGGAATGGGAGTGGAATGAGGAGCTGGGGTGGGGAAGACGCAGGACCTTGACAGGTTGGAGGGGACAAGGCCGAAGGTGTCAAGCTTGGGGAAGGCAGGCAGAAGAGTCTGGTTCCACTAAATGACACACCCTTCAGAGCCTGGAATGGACTCCAATATTCCTGAGTCCTACCCATTCCTCTGCTGTTAGCAAATATCTGTGAAACCCATGGGTAAAGTGTCCTATCCCCCTCTAGCGCTGATCCATAGATGGGATGACAACCTACTACTGCTAGCAGTTACTCGCTTACTCAAGTGGCCGAGATCTGTGCAGTGGATCTAAAGGTTCTAAGTGGAATTTCTATATTAGTTTGCTTTTTAAAAAAAACCATTAAATTATGCAAACTATGTTAAAAACCCAAGCATTCTCCTTGTGAACATTGATCACTCAAAAACTAGGAAATTCCAGAGTTAAGGTTGTTTTACCTTAACCCCCTTGTGCATATGCATTATGGTACAGGTGTTAGTTACATGATCATAGTATTTTTTCCACAGGAGCCCTGCCTCTTCATCCCAATCTCATTTTCTTTGACTACCTTGTCCAAGTGTCTTCACTTCTCAGGTCTCGTCCCAGTCTCCTAGTCCTGCCAGTCCCAGATCAGTTTCTGTAAGATGCTGCATTGACTGACAAGTTTTTATAGGCATGTTGCTGTACTGTGAGAAATACTTGGCATAGTGATTAAGAATGTAGTGTGGGGTTCTGCACTGCTAATTGGAGAGAGAAGTCCTTGTTACTGGGTGTGTGTCAGAAAACCTGGTAGATCAACAAATATTTGGACTTGGATAATCTGGATGCAAAATGTAGATGAGGATTTTGTTTGGGCAAAAAAGAAGGAAGAAAAATGTAACTTAAAATAGCAAATTTTATATAATACAAGTAGAAAAAAGGTTGTGATTCATAGAGAAATTATTTTCCTGCAGTTCTTTTCGGTGGAATTCTGTCTGGCACAAAAATGTGCCTTGCCCAGAAGTTCCAAAGATGGGCCAATGGGCATTTAAGCTTTCTATAACACTCAGCTCTGTGCCAAGTATTTCTCTCAGTACAGGAACATGCCGATAAACTTGTCTGACAATGCAGCATCTTAAAGAAATATTGTCTTTAAACCTGGCTTGTGTACAAATACAATGAAACACCTTTGTGAATGCTTACTTGGTTAAGTTATAAACTTCCAGGACAATGAGAGGTGATGAAGAAAAGGCCTGTTTACATGAACTTCTGGTATCAGCCCAGAGAATACTTCACAACAGCCATGTTAATGGATTTGAACCTTTACACAGAAGTGAGTCATAGGGCTACAGGTTTAGCACATCTGTTTTGTATTGAATGTTATCCTATTATTGCTTATAAAAAGATTCCTGAGTATTTGAAATTGCTGCTACAACCATCCAGCCAAACTCCGTTCCACAGTATTTATCTTTTTGAGTGTCGTGTGTCTTTAACACAGTGTCATCAGATGAGGCTGTAGGAGTTGAGTTTGTGCTCCAACTCATTTTTATTAAAAAGCGTTCAGGAAATTCAACCCTTCTACAGGATAACCTAGAAATTCAAAGTGAAACCTGATGCATCTGAGAATCCTTTTATTAAACTGCAGCTGCCATGTGGCAGTGTTACAGCTGCTGCAGAACCATAGCTTTATTGGGTGGGGGGAAGACAGGCTAATCAAACTCATTGCTTTAAAAAATACATATACATCTTTAAATCCAACTAGTTGGAAGCTTGTATTTCAGAGCACATGACCCTGGCTCCATTACAAAGGTGCTGTCTTTAATAGTATGATTGCATATTTGAATAGCCCTGCAAGGCCATCACTTAGAACCATGATGGAGTCTGTCCTTTCATCCTCCTCCCTTTCCCCGCTTCCAAAAAGGAAACTGTTCTGCTGCTGCACAGGAAGTTCCTAGCCTGCCCTTTTAGGCGAAGGGAGGGTCCGCCTACATCTTGAGTTCTCCCCTTCCTAGGATCTGATTGCCTAATATGGTAAGGTATGTCCAAAGCACAGGCTGTTCTTTGTCCAGATACAAGGGAAGTTGATTAGCAAGAGATTGCCATAGGTGAACGCTTTAGTGACTGATCCAGAAGGAAAGCCTGCTTGTCTAGATTAGTGCAAAATGTTAATATGTACCATAACTTCCTGTCAGAGACCAGTTTGCTGCCCAGTTCCTCTTGGGGTAATTGTAATGCAAAGAGAGGGGGAAATATTTACCACGTTGTATTCACTTTCTAGCACAGATGCAGTATGACATGGGCGGGAAGCCATCCTGGCCCATGTCCAAGGCAGTGTGGGAGGGAGCTGTGTGTCACTTCAGATGAGTACAGTGAAATAAGGCACTTAATCATGCACAGAATAGGGCTTGGTCTCAGAAACTTTGGCTCTGTGCAGCCCTGTTGCAAACAAAAATGCTACAGTTGATTGTATATGTTTCAGGGAAAGTGGTTCTGCAGTCTAAACGCGTGCAATTAGCAACATGTATCTGAATAAAAGTTGAGGCTAAAAATGGCAGTAAACCAGTCTGCAACAGCATTTAACCTTGGAGCCTTAAAATGTTTAGGGATGGCTGCATTATGTTGGTAGTACCCTGAGTATCTTGGCGGGGCACTGTAGAAATAAATATGTATTGTACAAATATTTTTAAAGCTTTAGTCACCATCTGCACAGATTCTCTCTCATATGTTTTGTCCAGCCTCATGACTATCTGTTGCTTTTTCTTAAAACATCATAGGATTGTCCTGGAGTCTCCAGGAATTAAAGATTAACCTTTCATTAAAGCTTATCATGTGATGAAGCCTCCAGGAATATTGGCAAACCAAACCAAAATTGGCAACCCTAAACATCACTGTTTTGGGAAGGAAGCCTGACTTCCTATTTATGGATCACCATGATACAGCATTTAAATCATCGGCCTGTATGCTACAGTAAAAGTGAAGGGGCAGCTGGCTAATTCCTATTTAAGGCACCAGGCATTTGGGGACAAAAATGTTTTGT